CCCCAAAACCCCAAAACCCCATGTATTTTATTAATTTTGTATCTAATGATAATTGAAATCTAAATAATAAAGATTTAAATGGATTAAGATTTTGAAACAAAGAGAATTGCCCTAATAGATCATCATAAGAAAGTTATCAAGGAGTCTGGATGTGATCTTGATTAAATGATTTTATACAGGTAGCATTTCCATAAATTTCCAGAAGGTCATCTTAAAGAATACAAAACTTAAGCTAAGATAAGGGAAATCTTACTCAGCATTGGATGCTAGAATGAATGGATTAATGATTGTGCAGGGACAGGCCTTGTTGTCAATCTTAGAGGTTAAGGTGAACCAGATGAAGATAAATAAAGAATTATTGCTTTGAGAGCAGACATTGATGGCTTAAAAATGCAAGAGAATAACGACTTGGAATATAAGTCATAAACAGAATACGCGCATATGTGTGGGCATGATGGTCACATTTCAATGTTATTGGCTGCAGCATCAATATTCATTCAAAATCTGAACAAAATTTCTCAAAACATGATGATTAGATTATTGTTTTAACCTGCTGAGGAAGGGCCTGGAGGGGCTTTGCCAATGATAAATGATGGATGCTTAGAAGGAGTTGATGAAATATTTGGATTACACAATAGACCCATATATTTGCCTGGCTTGATTAGAGTAAAATCAGGTGCAGTAATGGCTTCTAGCACTATAGTGGAAATAAAAGTACGAGGTGTAAGTGGTCACGGTTCCTAACCTCACATGATCTAAGATGCAATAAGTGCTTCTGCTGCAATTTTATGTTAATTACATGCTATTAAGTCAAGATTGATTGAGTCAAAGCATAACGTAGTGCTTAGTATAACTTAGTTTACAGGTGGATTTGCAGACAGTGTATTTCCTGATTCTTGTTATCTTTAAGGCACTATCAGAACGTTTGATTCTCAAATATTAAAAGATTTAGAAGACAAAATAATTAAGGTTGCTTAAACTACAGCCATTTCAATGGGATGCACAGCTGAAGTAAAATTTGTTGAGAGATACCCTCCATTAATTAATCATCCAGATTAGGCAAAATTTATTGAAAATTTAACTGCAAATGCATTTGGAGCAGAATTTGTGGGAGAGCAGGGATTACCTGTTTCTGGAGCAGAAGACTTTTCATTTTACTTGCATCATAAGCCAGGATGTTTCTTTTTCTTGCTTACTTATGATTTCAACTTCCCTAATAGAGCTCTTCATCAATCAAATTTTGACTTTAACGATAACTTATTGGCAACTGGAGCATATATCTGGGTAAAAATAATAGAAGAAAAATTTAATTGCAAGCTCTTGACCGAATGATGATATCAATTTAGTGAAACTTTTATAAACTATTTATGATTTACCCAAAAATGATTATCAGCGGATTGTGGGGTTTTGGGGTTTTGGGGTTTTGGGGTTTTGGGGTTTTGGGG